CATCCTGGCTCGTTTCACACCCGTGCACATTCGTCATAGAGATAGTTGACAGTCCCGATTGCTCCCCGCCGTAATTTTCCCTTGATAAGAGGGTTTTTAAAACCGGATACGGGGTAGACAAAATTATGGTGCGGTTTACTGAACAGTTGGTGGACATTAAGGCTTCTTTAGTCTCTCAGGGGATGCTCTTTAGTCTTCATTCTTGCTTGTTTTACTCATCGACTGACTGTGTGGAGACTGTGGAGGACTGTGTGGAGGACGCGTGGCTTCAGACAACCCCCCTGAATCTTGCTGGCATTTTGTTCTTGGTTGGTTTTGCTGTGCGCTATCCTGTTTTATTGTTTTACTCACTTTCAATCTTGTACCCGGACACACTCACCCATATCGTTTCTTGCACTTTTGTTAGTTCTTCCGGATTATATCCTCGACTTTTCACAGCTCATGATAAACTTTTGTGAGGAACATTTTCTACGAAATCTGAACATATCTACTGTGTCGTAAGGTCTGAGATGTCATACTGGATGGTGAATACTTTTGGTCCTGAGTCAAAAAGTAACTCTCAGAGTGTGAAGAAGAGAAAACTCTCTATCTCCGGAGGACATACATATATACTCAAACCACATGCAGCGTGACTGATAGGCGTCTTCAAGTCTCTCTAAGTAATCACATGCTAACCAGTAACCAGTAATTGTCGTCCTATTCTACGTCATAACTGATCGCTAAATACGTGTCCTAAATTCGCTTTTTGCATTACACGACAGATATACTCCGTACTTTAGATTAGACTGACAAAGGACCCATAGCGATTAATAATACTACCGATCGTAACTGCTAAGACAAGGGAACCAAAGCTTTGTTGTGACTAGCTCGCGTCTGAGTGAATTTTCCTGAAGTCCCGCAGCTGTTGATCTCGACGTCTGGGAACAGTCAACCACTGTTGCCATATAGACGCCTTCTGCGCCGGCGACGAATGGCGAGCCTGCACACGTGAACTGCTCTCTCTCTGTCCACTGGCCTGACTGCTGTCAAACCAGCACTTGGACGAGAATGGAGAATAAGGGAAAGTCAAACATATTCTCTTAATTTGAAGATTGTGTATGTAGCAGAATTTAATGGAACCATAAATTTCGCGAGCGCTCATCAGCTACATCCACTCGCTGCATAAACTGAGTAACGAATGAGAATATAAAGAATTGAATTCATACAGAAAAATCGATACAAAAACATCAAGGTCGAGGTTAAAATATAACAATACTTGTCAAAGCCCGAAGGAGCAATTAACGTTTAA